CTCTGCTTTTTCTCGCCTCTTCCTCTCGTTGAATCGATTTCGTTGTTGCAAAAAACAGTCTCTTCGAATTGAAAATTCGCTATAGTTCAATAACCTCGACAAACTGAGAGTTTTAATAATTAATTCAGTATTCACGTTTAAACTTGAATATAGTTCCTAATATAAGAAATAGGAACACGTAAAACCGATCGTTCATTAAAACGCAAATTGAAATAAAATTTTCGAGGATATACGGGTGTTCGTCGTAGAGACTGTCTTTGGAAAAAACGAAATTTCCTGGATGACGGTACATGAGTAAGGTTTATGAAAAGGAGGTTTCGATGTTTGCGACAACCTCGACGACTGTTTTTCGTATTCTTGTAAAGAGAGGATCAGTAGAAAATCATCTAGTCGACGCTCTACACAAAAGGCAAGCGAGTATAAAATAAACTGGATACAAGAACCACGAGTTGGTTTTATATAACCTTGAAATATAGGTATACCGTCCAATTTTTCACATTTTTATACTTCATTTTTTTTTTCTTTTTTTGTTCTTTCGCAATAGAGTGAAATTATATGTGTGTGTTTTTATTGTTACTGTTTCTTCTGTGTCAAGAACAAGAACTTAGAAAATATCTCGATACTTTTACTCTCGCTGACTTTTACGACGAAGGATGATCAACGTTTCAGATCTGTCGCCGTTTTAGGGAAAAAACGACTGTGAGTTAACAAACACGTTCCTTCTAGTCAAAATATTTACCGTTACGTTGGAAATTAAAAAATCATATCTTCTTGTCTGTTTCAACAGATAATTCGCGAGATATTTCCGGAAGTTTGTTTTGCTCTACTGTACTTGGACTCGAGATTTTTACGCGACTCAAACGTCTTCAGTGTTTACGTAATTTGTAGTTGCTAGAATGTGCAACTTCGAAACGAGAATTTGTCCTAATCCAGAATAGTTACGTGAACTCTGCCTTTCTCTATCGCAAAGGTCAGTTAATTGATAGTTTCACCACAGATTTTTCATGAGCCATTCGGTGTTGTGTATATAGTGGAGCGTTGCGTGCTCTGTCGATGTCGACCAGTGGATCGTCATTGCACTTACATGTTCTATCAATGAAATTTGCAAACTATTACAAACCGAATATATTATTCTATTTCATTTTTGTCGTTTATCTTTAGTAATACTTATTTCTTACTTTCATCTCAAATAGTCGTAACCTACTGGAAATGGAAGTAAAGGAAAGTAAGATTGCCCTAACAAATTCACTTTCTTATATCGTTCATTATATACAACATCTAATGAACTAATTCTCAAAATCACGGACTTTGGTGAAAAACGATTGGCCCACTCGAATTTGTATGAAAGAAAAGACTTATTAATCACAGTATAGCTTGCACAATATGCATATTGGTATATAGGACGACACTTAACCAAGGATATAGTTATCAATACGATCAGATTATAAATCAATGCCTTTTTCACCTTGGCATACTTATATAGAATTGCGAATCTAAGATCGACGACTTTATTCAAATACTAATACTATTTGGGTTTTAAATAATATTTAATAATTACAAAAGCTTGGATACACTTTGGTTGACAAATCTTAATGAGATTCTAAATAGATTGATGGTTCTCGAGTGAATTTCAAAATACTAAATCTCGATAGATAGAATGACACAATTAATTCTCCAAAAATCAATTTCGGAATCTATCTAAAACAAAATTTAATAAACGAATGCAAAACAAAACTTCGAATTAACAGGATACTCTAATAAAACAGAAACTAAGAATACGATTCTATTATGACACGATTTACATGAACGTAATTCTACGAACAACCCAAATCGATCAACGAAACATGATACAAAAACAAATTACTATGAATCTTTTACATCCATATGATCCTCCGTGACCTAAAACTCAACTGAATCTATTGGAGTTATTGCTCACAAGAATCATAATCCGATGCCACAGAAATATTTCTCCATCACCATAGACATCTGCTCTATCCGAGGGTAATTCTCCCGTAAAACCGTAAGAGTCCGTTTAGAGCTCTACCCTTATGCCACGATAGTAATTTCACGAGGAGCCAAGGCCGGCGAATTGACATTTTCGGGTTGGCTTCCCTCCTCTTTCCTTTTCTCTCTCCTCTTGTAATCCTTATCCCTCATCGCTGCTCCTACACTCGCTCCTATTTTCAGTCTGGTCTCTCCCTAACCGTGATATTGATCCTCCGCCCCTTTCCGCCCCCGCGTTCGTCGCGACCGTACGCGTTAGGCCGCC